GTATCAGCTCAAATTTACATACTGCTTAACAAGTTTGTGCGTGACTGTTGATGCCTCTGATCAAAGTGCTTTTGGAAATCTTTCTCATCTGATTTTTCTCTCCCCCTTCCCGTCCTTCATTTCGAATGCATGCTGCAGACAGGCATCTTTAACTCAGGGGCAAAGAAAGGTAACCTTACTGCTGCACAAGCCCAAATGTCATCCAACAAGAAGGGCTCATGTCCTGGGGATAAGGATAATGTAATCTAAGCAGTATACAGTGTATGACTGTGTGTCTTTGAGTCTGTCTTTGCACTCGCCTCAGTGTTTGTTGCAGGCTTGGGTTTGGGGGCGTAGAGAGACAGGGGGATGACAAAAGTCAAAGCAGTCATGTGTCATTTTTGGTGCTGAAGGGCTGGGACCTGCCTGCGGGGCTGTCCTCTCTGTCAGACGCACTCAGATATCTGTGCTGTCTCTTTCTTTTGCTCTCTCCATCCTTCTCTCTGTCTTTATCTGATGCACGGGCATATACGCAGCTGTACGTCTGTGCGCTAATGCGCTGTTTAAAGTCTTAGGAGCTATAAAAGCAGAGGTGGAACACCATATTCCAATAATACCTCACTTAAAAGCAGATGTTATACCATAACAAGTCAGTTGACACACACAAAATAAAATTTTTAATTTTTTGAGATGCTCAGATTTGTCATATGCAATCTAAAGCATAAATCAGTCTTTTAATCAAGATATAAAAGGTTAAGCTTCAAACCAATGGCTCATGAAATTCCCATGAGAATAAAACAGCAGGAATCAAAGGTGGAAGGGCTCTGGCAACCTATTTATTATATGGACACACGTGCACATACATGGGCACCAGTGTAAACAACAATACTGCACACATTAAATAACTAAAAGAGAAAAATTGATTCAAAAATACAATGAAAACAGGGTGTGGGTGGAAAGAGTGGAATCGTGGGAATGCAAGATTGCACCTCCCTCAGGCACTCAAATTATCCTATGGGCCGATGGTTCCTCCTTATGCGTCGGCTGACATTTTCCTGTAACCCAATCCCGAGTAATGCTATGTGATGTGTGTGACTGGCTTCTGCCATGGCCCTGAGAGGCCATGAAGCCCAGGGGCCATTTGCTCGCTGCCTGCAGCATCCTGGGAATTGTTTATTTTAGCTCTGTCTGCCGCCCTTTTTTTCTTCCCTTTTCGCCTCTCCTTCTCATTTTGTCGTCGCTCCTGTTCTCCCTGTCTAGGCTAGAGGTGTTTACTTTCAATTAGAGGAGGGTTGCACTCTTGAGTATTCTTCTGGGAGACAAAACCCACAGACAGGTGACCCTTGAGGGGTAACTCAAAACCAAGCCTTCGGTCTTTTCATGCAAACTGTTAATATTCCGGTACTATTCAGGGGACATGAAGGTAATGACAACAGAAGATGCTGCCGGTGTGTGTTACTCAGCTGTATATGTTTCTCAGTGAGAAAAGACTGGAGGGAGCGTTCAGAAGGAAAACAGTAGAAAATCAATGTACGCCGCAAAACTGTGAGGCAGGGGAAGCAAAAGAGAGAGCTTTAAGGACAGAGAAGATAAGATGTGTGATAGGAGATAATAGAGTGATATTCAAAATATACCCTGGAGGTAGAAGTTAAAAGAGAACATTAAAAGAAAACATATTTAGATTACTTATGGATGTGTAAAGCCCGTATGAGCCAATATGTGCAAACTTTGCCTCATATTGATGCAGAGCTCCTTCCCCCAAGGGCATGAGAGGAGGCAGCCCAATTTGCTCTACACAAATATAGTGTATTTCTGTGTGTAACTGTCGACATGTGACGCGCAGAAAAGGGACAGTGTTGAGAGCGTAGCCTTTTATGACCCAACACACTCTGACAGCTCGGCCATGGCTCGAGGACACGAGCAATGTTGCTTTTTCATCTGACAATTTTGAGCAAAACAACTCTCACTCGATAGATTCAATTGTTTCGGACTGCCTCTGTTGCTGTGAGCTGAGGACCAGAGACAAAAACATGTCAGCGGCCAGTGGATTCTGCTCCCTGTTAGCTGGAGAAGTCACACTGTCAATCTGCAGGGCGGGAAGTGAGAGAAAATGTAAGCGATATGATGCTGGCTGTTTTTATGCAACACTGCCCTCTGCTGGTTCAGAAGGGGAGGAGCAGAACAGGTAAATCCTACAGCTTTCAAAGAGGTGATGGATTGATACAACAGGTCTTTGTTAATCTGGAAAAGCTCTTGAATTGGCTTATATAATTTTTAATGTGAAGAAAACAGTAATAATATGTAAAGATGTTTACAGACTCTGAATATTTTGTCAAATCAAAACATTTTAATTTTAGATGAACTTCCTGTTGACAATTTTTTAAATTCTATTACCATAGTTTGCAGACTTAAAACATCAGAAATTGAGTTTGACATTTAAAATATAAATATTTGTTTATGTTTTATTTTCTTTATCGAGTGAAAACCCACTGCTAAATAAGGACTGGTGCTCCTTATGTGCACTAAGAAGAATTAGGGCAGATCCTTCCTCCCAGCAGCTGCCAACAAATCCCTGCTCCCAACAAATTAAAGAAGTTTTTTTATCCTTTTTGTTAGTTGCACTGGATTTTTCTTATTTCTCTTGTTTTTCAATATGCTGTTGCAACGCCGGAATGTCCTCACTGTAGGATAGTAAGTAATTATTCTATCCCATACTATCTCAAGCATCAATGTGCTTTTGCACGAAAAAATAAAAAGTGCAATACTTTTCCATTGAGACCACTTTACACTTACTTGTGAAGATGATCCAAAGGAACTTGTTACGTTCAGAGATCACTCAACTAATAAGTCGACCCTTGGTATTCAACAGCAGAGTAAATACAGCTGTTCTGAGGTATTTTAAAGAACATTAGTCCTACCACTTAAAATGGGAGGCTGTGCAAGAAATGGTTATGGCCATGGTTACTACTGGAATGACAATCTCTAGGTAGATTACCTCAATGACAAACTTTTTATTCTATAGGAAAACACCATGTATGTTGGAAAATTAAAGGTGCACATCCCAAAGATCACAGAAATGAAGTGAAACATTGAGTAGCTAGCATTATGCTGTAGAATGTAATGACTCACCTTCCAGTAGGACAAAGACCCTAAACAAACATAGAAATGTTTAAGTCAAAGCCCGACCTGTCCAGGGTGAACCCCGCCTCTCACCCATTGACAGCTTGAGATAGGCACCAGCACCCCTCAGAACCCCACTTGGAATAAGTGTGATGGAAAATGGATGGAAGTCAAAGCCCAGGTCAAAACTCCACTGAGACTTCTGAAGTAATTTAACAAACACTTATTCAATTAATTCAACTGAGCTTGCAACAGTTTGTTTCAAAGAACTGCTATATTTCAGACACTAAATGTGATTAAATAAAATATAACCAGATTGCTGGTACAAACTGTCAATATGTAAAATTGTTCCAAGTTATTTTCACCCTTTATTTGAACCTGAAGACATTATTGTTGAAGAAACCTTACATAATGTGCATCATTCTAATTATGGCCACAGGGTTTTACATTAGAATGAAAAAAAAAAAAATGTGTGAAACCTGGAAGTATTGTTGAGTATCACACGAGAAATTTGACTACCAAGGGTAAACACAAATACTCTTTATCCCTACAAAAATGAACAAAACAGTTAATTTATATAGTAATTATAATACATATGTGGATATCTAATGGGATAAAGTACTACTAGTATTTCCCTTTTTGCACATAACTGGCCTACAAGAACAGTCTGTGTGCAATAGTGCAGCGTTGACGGCTTGCAGGACTGCAGACTTGCTTGGAGAGTGCATGTCCCCAGGCCTTGTTCTTCTCTCAATGACCTCTGGTGAAGCCATTATTTTCTGCATTAATGATGAGCAGCAGCCAGCGATGAGAGAGATGGACTTTGTCCTGAGGCATAGCAGCGCTGATTGTGGGCAACAGCAATGCGAAGAAAAAAAAAAGGTAAAGAAATAAAAAGAAAACTCTTCTCATAAGCAGTTGAAAAGGACAAAATCTTAGCAGCAGGAAAGAATAAGTTGCACCTGCTTCATTGACCGCAGGAATCAGATGACTCTCGCTAAAGTATTACACAGGAAGAAGTTACTAACATGTTAACTACAGCCTTTTGTTATCCATTCATTCCTTTAAACATGAATACTATATCTAGGAAAATAGTGATGGGCAATTAATGTGATTAATCAACAGAAAATGAATAATTTCCTAGGGCTTCATGGTTGGAAACTGATTAGAAGCCAAATTGATCCATATAATCAGGACAAAAAATGAACTTCCAACAACTACCAAACAAGATGACAAGTGCAGTTGTCGTAGTTAAGGCACCAACTCAGGAAATCCTGGCTCGGGGATGACTCTAAATGAAGGACTTTAGCATTCACCATTATGTCTTTGGTAGGAGTCAGAGGGAACCCCCGGGGCACTTCAGCGCAGCACGGCACAACTTTTCAAAGGGCTCCAGATTAAAGTCACTGAAAGTTCCCACTGGGGTCTGAGGCCAGGATCCCATTAAGCAGCCCAACCACACCGCCGGCCATAATTGTGTCGTTGAGAATTCAGAGCAGTGGTTGCTTGATAAGCGAATTTAGGGTGAAAGAAAAAAAAGCAGAGGCTTAAAAAAAAAAAAGGAAAGGGGGGGAGGGGTCTTGTGTGACCACCTTTATACCCTTCATTTGCCTGCCACTAATTTGTTTTAAACGACTGAGGGAAAGGTGAGCTCTTTATGAAGCAGACACTATTTTCAGCTCAGTGACAGAATGCTGATAGATGGAAAACACTTTATCCCCAGACTACACTCCTGCTAGTCGTCTCTATCATGGTACATGCCTTGCAGTGGAGTAATCAATATAATGGGTAAGAAAATTTTCTTTCAAGTGAACGTTTGAAAATAAAGCTTGTGTTATGATGAATGATAATAATGTTGCTCTAACACAAACCTAAGCAGTAAATGTGACAAATGCAAAAAACATTAAGAAATCCACTTTTATTTATATTATGGTTTTATGCCATGTAGAATTGGACATTTGAACAACTTGCATGTTGAGAGAAAATTCTCCAAGGCAGGCAAAGATCTAAATCCTAACTTGAGAACTGCACATCTGAACATACAAATTAGAAGTAAGCAGTGGACAAACCTAGCAACTTTGAATTAATAGGTGCATCCAAACTTTTCATTTTGACAGCCTTAAAATACAGGATTTTGTCCGCTTTTCTACTATAGAATCAACCATCAATGTTGGAAAATCTTCTAGCAGTATCAGAGAATTTCAAGTTATGATTAAGCTCAGTATAAGAAAAAAAATGAGGAAATGATTTGAAACTAACATCCTGAAACCAAAAGATACAACTTTAATCCAAGTGCAATAAAGCAAAGATTAGGTCAACAGCTTTAAGTGGACTTTTTCTGCTTTTTCTTCTCCGCTTCCTCTTCTTTTTCTTTCTCTATCTCGGCCACCAGGGTCTCTATTTCCTTGGATTCCAAAATCTATAAATACATGGGAAAACAATGGTTAGCTTTTGCAGGAGCTTAAATAAATAACATCCGATATACATTACCGGGTAAACTTCTTGCTTACCTTGAGCGGCTGGTTTCGTCTTATTACAGCAAGTTCAATATTCTTTCCTCCCGACTGCACAACCTGTGATCAATTAAGGGATAGTTGGCAATCAAAAATTATTTACTAAAAAAAAAAAAGGATAATGATAAAATTGTTTGGAAAAGTCCCGCAATATCTAAATAGTTACAATTTTACATCAAGTCACAAATGTTTTTAGTCGTGTAAATAACAGATGTAAACATATTTCGATAGATCCTACAAAGTTTCTGTTTATAAACCCCTTCTTTTTCCAGACAACTTTCCCAATTTTCAAGCAGGTTTTCTAACATGTTGGACTTTTGAGCATAAATCACTTGTATATCCCAGAAATAACATCCTACTGATGCTGAAATCTGATGTGCCCTTTTATTATACACTTTATGTTTCAGGCAAACCAACTTCAATTAGATATTATTTATAATACATAGATACTTCTGATATATTAAATTAGATTTGTCATCTATGGTAAACAAATATAGTTAGAATATATTTATATTCCGTGAAAAATACATTTTGTTTGTAGATATAAATTTAACGTAATTATAAGAAAGCATTTTAAGTAAAACAAGCAGATACAAGACATTATGACCTTACCTCAAGCAAAGCTTTGATGGCCAACTTGATGGCCTCATTGTCCCCAGCGATGGCTTCATCCGTATAATTCTTCTCCAAGAACTCCCTCACTGTTTTCGCACTGCGGCCGATTGCATTTGCCTGGATGTTTTACACAAAGTTCCACAGCCAAATCAATGGTAATCATTTTCAAGCATGCCTTGTGCTTGTGACACATGCAAAGAGAAGAGAGTAATGAACTTTAAAATCCACCAACCTTCCAGGCATGGTATGTCCCTGATGGGTCTGTCTGATACAGTCTAGGGGTTCCATCATAGTCAAAGCCAACAATTAATGCAGAGATTCCAAATGGCCGACGTCCATTGCTTTGAGTGTATCGCTAAAAATAGAAAATTGGAGGAAAACATTAAAGATAGTGAAATACTCAAGAGGGATACAAGTTCAAACTGAGGCCTTTGTGGCATTCTCATTGCTCCAGTCTAATTTTTCAATGCTCAAAAAAATAATAGAAAACTATATTTTAATGGCAAGAATGTGAAATACCTGCTTCAGTGTTGCAATGTATCTTGTGATATATTCCACTGTGACAGGATCTTCAACTGTTAGCCTGTGGCTCTGGCACTCAACCCGAGCTCTATTTATCACAATGCGGGCATCTGCTGTCAGACCTTAAAAGAAACGAAGCAGAATTTAAACAAAAGATAGAAATTGTATGAGGTATACAAGTCTATATTGCAATGCGTTTCGTGCCATTATCTATTTCAGAAAGAAAATTACTGCATTATGTAAATGTCAAAAAGAAACAGATTTCTGAGGTACCTGCAAAAGCCATGCAGACATGCTCGTCCAGTGCACAGATCTTGCGAACAGTCCTTTCTTCCTGCAACTTCGCAACCGATTTCTTCTCCACACCAAGAACAACAATGTCTTTCCCTCGGATTCCAACCTGAACAAAAGAAACAGGACAAATGTAGGTTTCATTTCCTAATTATGCAGCATCAAATATCTTATATGTAGGTGTGCGCAAGTGATGATGCAATCACACATGAGAAGCAAAACTATGAAGTCTATTTTCAACTGCAAGTCGGCTTGTTTCAGGGATGAAGTGAAAACTTAACATGATTTCAATGTTTATAAAATCGAGACTAAGTGCCATTAATTTACCAAGAAAATTGTATTTTGTGGCTACTCAACAGCACGTTTTGCCTAGTTTGTTAAGTCGTAACTTTGTGCATTATTACTGGCATTGAGCAAGCTGGCATAACATTACACAGAGATGCAGACACTAGACCCAAACACCTCCTGTTTGTAGAGATTTAGTTTTTTAAAAGAACTGCAATAGATAGAGAAAACTTTTCTGAGTTTTCTCAGTTTTCTGAGTGGAAGTTTAACCCCTTCAGGTCTGAAGTATAAGATTATCTTTGTTCATAACTAATGCATTAGCTTTACTCACACTTGAAAAAGATGTAGATTTAACTAAAAGCATACATGCTGTGTGTTGATATAATGTTACATTTATAGACCAAAAGTAATTTGATACCTTGGATTTAGGCAATACCCTCAAGGCTTTTTTCTGCATTTGACATCTTATACATCTAGGTTAGAATATTTGTGGTTCAAATCACCGACAGATTGATTGCTGTATTTCCAGATTACATCCAATCAACAACTGTCTGGCATGTTATTCTTTTATTTTTATTTTGTTTTTTGACTTTGTCACTTGGTGACAGGGCAGACAAAAGTGGACACTTCTATAATACCCTTCCTAGCACATTATTTACTTTGCAGAATCTTCAAAATTAAGTTTATATTGGGTGTTTTACAAAGAAGACAAAGTTGGGATAAAAGGTCTGAAGATTACTTAAGCCATTTAGAAATTGTATTACTTATTTTGCATCTCAATGTCCAATTTCTTTTCATACGTTATGTCTTTAATGAAAGCAATGTGGAATTGAAGCAGATTTTTTTCTAAATAAAATCGGATTCAGATTTATCAGATTCCTTGCAATGCTCTACACAAACGCTTTCTCATCTGTGACTGCTACTACGGTAAATAATTTTCAGGATGCCATCGCGTTTAAGTTAGATTTTGTATAGAAGGCGAAAAAGGCAGCATTTATATAATGCTGTAGATGAGACAGCGATTACTCCATATAACCCAGAAACTATATTTTGGCCTAAATGTAATCATCTTTAATAGTCCAACATCACGATTACTTTCTTCCAGTGTCCCGTTTTTTTTAAATCAAATACAAACCGAAACTACCGTGAGAGTGACACAGCGACAAAATGCTAACGATGCTAGCATAAACATCGCCCCAACTGAACTATCAGGACAGGTCAACAGTCCAAATATAATATTTGGTCACAACAATGTCCCATATCTAAAAGAAAAAAATATATATTAAACTGGTTAACGAATAAAGACTATTTTGTGGCGGCTAGCTTCTGTGCTAACAGATGCTGACCACGTTAGCTTTTGCATCAATTCAATGCACCGACTTACCGCAGTGGAACCTTTCTTTACAGCTTCCTGGGCATACTCTACTTGAAAGAGATGACCGTCGGGAGAAAATACAGTAATGGCTCTATCATATCTTGCTGCCATTTTGCTGCAAGACAAACTAGTGGAGACGAAAGAAGTAAAAGCTCAACTTGATTCAGCTAGTTAGCATCAAGCGTCAAAATGCGCATGCGCGTCACACACTCACGGCGGATACTTTTTTTTTCCTTCCAAATCTTTATTTATATTTATATAAGAAAAAACAACGTATCAAAGCACACTTTAAACCTAAAAAGGGAAATGTAATGCGTTTAACTAAGCAGGCAAAGAAAATAGAGAACAGTCACGAAAAACAATTTGAAGATAAAACGAAGGACCGAGTAGAGACAATATTAAGGATTTTCTCTACAGTAAACTAGACATGCTGGAAATTAATAAGGTCTTCACAAATCTGCACTCGTGAAAAGAAAAGGATTAAATACATTTTTTAAAGATAGTTTGATTCTCGCCATCTTATCATAAACGAAATTAAAGGTGTAGTAGAAATATATTTGGTGTATTTTCTGCTACTAAAATACAGAAGAGGATTAGGGCCACTGAAAAATGTAAAAAAAAAAAAAAACGTAAACTGATTTTTTTATTTTATATATATATATATATATATATATATATATATATATATATATATATATATATATATATATATATATATATATATATATATATATATATATATATATATATATATATATATATATATATGTGTGTGTGTGTAAAAACATGTTAACTTTTTTTTTCCCAGTGGACCTAATCCCCTTCCGTACTAAAATGTGTACCGATTATCTAGTCTTATTTTTTCTTGCTTAATAGTGGTAGCAGTAGTACTAGTAATGTTGTTGATGATGTCTTTATTATTAATGTTAAAGTTTGACAATGTTTTTATGTTTGTTGTTTTTTTGTTTGTTTTTTTTTTTTTGCTCTTGTAGCTGAAGACTGTTCCATTTAACGATGAAGGGGGGGCTTAAATAGATTGAACGAAGAAAAAATTACTCGTGAAATGAAATCATACATTATAATTATTTGCATTTATCTATTGTAATGCTTTGGGTTCATTACCGCATTATAAAAGAATAAAAATGAGAAACAAAAATGTGTTTGAATTTCTCGTCCCCCCCAACACGGACCACTGCATTACGAAATTGCAGCGTACCGAGCGCTGTACGATCCTAGTTTTACTGATTTGTCCAGTGTTTGCCACTTGTGACTTTTTATGCTGTAGCTCGCATTCATTCGGCGTTTTATCACCATGTCGGTGGCTTTTGCACCTCATAGACAACGAAAGGGCGATATAACGCCCGCCGGAATACAAAAGGTAATTCATCTTTTTTTTTTTTTTTTTCCCGCGGAGCATTATGGAGGCTAGGGTTTGCTGCTAGCTGTTGGCAGTGAAGCAGTGCCCATCTAAAGCCAACTGTGTAATACTGTAACACGATCAAAGCGCGGTCAATATGAAACTCCCTTGAAGCAGGACGCCCCGTGTACACAGGGAATTCGAAGTTAAATGTTAAATTTAACCTTAAATGAAAGAAGGCCTTGGTTTTGTTAGCAAGGCATAGCTAGCATGAAAGACACGTCTTTGTTAGCGAGAAACGCACGCTTACATTTAAAAAAAACTCCCCCATTGACTTCAAATTATAACATAAAAAACATAATGGAAAGCACACATTTAACGGGGACAGTTTATACCTTCTTCACATATATGTATTGTTTTACGTATAGTAACAGGAATAATATTATCTAAATGTACTTTTCCAGTTGCTTGATGAAAACAACCAGCTGATCCAATGCATAATGGACTTCCAGAGTAAAGGCAAAACAGCAGAATGTTCACAGTAAGTTTCTACTGTTTTTTTCTGTTTTGCACACTTCAGTGATTTATACTAGAAGCATTGATTATTCTCCATCTTACAGTTATCAGCAGATGTTGCACAGAAATCTAGTGTATCTGGCCACGATAGCAGACTCCAATCAGAACGTACAGTCTCTCCTCCCTGCTGTGAGTATTGTTTGAATGTTTTCACTGCTTAGTTTTGTTCAACTATGACTTATATGCCTCAAAGTTGTTAAATTAAGTTCCTCTATTTGAACTATAGGTTTTGTCATTGAAATACAATTTTGATTATTTGTTGGTTTATAGATTTTAGGTGCAGATGCTTTGCAATAACCTGCATTTTGCTTTAATGGTTGCTATTTATATATGCTAATCTTGTTTATTTACATCTGTTATAAATCACTAGAGTGTATTAAGTATATAATATGCAGGTATGCGGAGGCACATTTAATTTAGCATTTTTTTGGGGGGGGTCATTCTTTCTTAACCCTTTATAGGACAAGTTACAGTTTTTGGTCACTAGCATATCCCTTAAAAATGGAGTCCCCCTCGTCCCTTAGTGAGGTCTACAAGCACAAGATCTATATCCAGCCATTCAGCAAAGATACTGCTACATGGCTGTACATCTCATTTTGGCATTTGACCAAATAAATGAGTCCTTCTATGATATATTACCTACTGTAAATTAAGTAGAAGAAAAAGTTAAGTGAAAAAAAAGGGTTTAATTGAAAGGTTAAAAAGTTAATAAGCCTCGTTAACAATTATATTAAGCTTTATAAACAAAAAAAATGTGCCAGTATCAGCATTAATACTTCCAAGGTTATGACGTACCACAAAAAAAAGTGTTTCTTTCAATCTCAGAGTTTTTTTTAAAGGAATTTCTTATAGAAGCACTTTTGTTATTTTTCTTAATACATACTAGCAAGTTGTCATTTCTTGTTATTACATTGACATTTATTTTTGCCATCAAAATATCCATATTTTTTTAGGGATTCACAATTTTGGGATTTTGGCCGATATCCGATATGCCGATATTTTAAAACTCATTTAGCCGATAACCGATATCGGTACCGATGTTAAAGCTGGACAAAAATAAGTAGTCATTGAAAATAGCAGTTTTATTATCCATTTCTGACACTTTGAAAAATAATATACTCAAATATATTTTATATGCTGATATCAAATTGATTTTTAAAAACGATCTATTTTACTTTCAAAATCTCGTGGAATTTCATCGTTCTGTTACAATCTCTCGTGATATTTTGCAAATTCTTGTGAGATTTTGTTAGTAAAATAGATCGATACCACGTCAATATATCAACATATAAAAATGTGGCAAAATTTCGTGAATTTTGGGGGGATTTTGTAGCATAACGATGACATATAGCAATATTTCATTAGTAAAAGAGATTGATATGGTGTTTTTAAATGGCAATATATCAGCATATGAAGATATTGTGATATTTTAATGTATCAATATTTTTTCCCTCGTCTTTAGACGTTTCTAAGTCTGTAAAAAAGAAGTTTTTGAGGAAGAAGAAGTAGTATTTATTTATTTTTTTAGACTTTAGAAACTCAGAAGCTCATCAAATATCGGGGGGGTGGCCGATGTCCGATATTCAGTTTTAAGGCCGATACAGGCCGATACCGATAGGGGGCCGATTATATCGTGCATCCCTATATTTTTTTATTGTTACAAAGGTAATAAGCTCTTGTCCTGGATTCCAATAATACTATTGGCTTGAAATTTTGATTTTCAAATGATTTCACTGGCTACCTTAATAAAGGATTAATAGCATCCTTCATTTATGGATAACAGCAATGAATTCAAAGGTTTTTTTTTTTTCTCTTGAAGGTTAAGTTGTGGTCACTGTTCAGACAGTTAATGTGTGTGTGTGTTTGGGGTATTCACCTACAGCCACCCACTCAAAATATGCCGATGGGCCCCGGTGGCATGAACCAAAGCGGACCCTCTCCTCAGCCCCCTCACGGTCACAACATGCCCTCTGAGGGTATGGTAAGCGGCGGCCCTCCAGCCCCCCATATGCAGAATCAGATGAATGGCCAGATGCCGGGTAAGTCCTGTGTCGGCACCCCCTCTTTCTCATCTCTCAGTTTCTGTTTTCCCTTAAGTTGCTTGGCAACATTGAAGCATTTTCAGGATTGCTATTTTCCAGATGAATGATGTCATCTATGCAGCCTTCTGTAGCGGTCTATGATGCTATTTCCGTCATTTCTGTCCTTTTTCTTTTGAAACCAAACCCTTTATAGACACTTTTCATATGAAAAGTTTTTAAACAAAAAAACAGTTGGTCATCATTGTATGCTCAGTCGTCTTCCCCATGATTTGTGACTATAAAAAAATATTTTCAATGTAATTCATGTAGATGTTTTTAGAATAAATGGGTATATAGCATTGCAGCAGAGTAATTAACCATTTTAAAGCCTTAATTTCCTCAGTAAAGTTAGGATGATGGACACCAAATCCAATTGCAAGCTCAGCTACCTTGTTTAGCCTAAACTGTAACCAGATGTGCATTAGATTGCTAAAATTAAAGGTATTTTATTATAGCAAATTAACCAAATTTAAATTCTAAATGGAAAATGAACACATTCAATAGGCCATAAAAGGATGGCACAGTTGAGAATACCAATGTACTGTGATTATTTTTTAATTTGTTTGTGTGTCTTCTATTCTGTTTTCTAGGGCCTAATCATATGCCCATGCAAGGTCCTGGTCCAGGTCCCAACCAGCCTCCAAACATGCCCAGTGGCTCTATGAATATGCCCCCCAGCAGCCATGGCTCTATGGGCGTTTACAATCACGCAGTCCCCTCTTCGCAGGGCATGCCAGCACAGAGCCAGATGAACATGACCCAGGGTCAAGCTATGGGAAGCTACGGGCCTCGACCGAATATGAACATGCAACCTAGTCAAGGTGAAAGGAGGGTTTTGTATGTTTGGGTGTACTGATTTAAAACTGTTTATCACCATGATAAATGTGTTCTATTAGAAACAGTGACATTTTATCATGTTACAGCCTGTGAATGGAAAACAAATAATATTGCACCTGAGTGAATTCAGTTAACAGGCAGACTGGTGTAGATAATAATTGGCTACTTTCAAACTGCAGGCCTTGATGCTCAATTCCCATTTTTTTGTGAAATCCATTTTTTTTTTTGTCGCATATATTTGTCCAAATATATGCGACTTGTATGTGATCTCCTGTGTGAACTGCAGTCATACAACACAAGTGTCCCACATGCGCAGTAGAGGACGCGATGACGTCACAGGCCAGCGTGCTCTGTGTTTATGGAAATAAACATGGATGGTAGTGCTGGCGCGCATCTAGCGACCATACCATAAAAACACAATCTTTCAAGATTGTTTAACATAAATACTGCTCTCTGCATCATCGTCCACCATGGTTGTTGTTTTTCTTGCCACTTCTTCATAGCAAGACACAGAATAGTGACCTTTGTCGGGTATTAATGGCGTTCAGGTCAGATGAATGCTACCTGGCCGTTCAGACGCAGGTCGCATTTGAAAAGATCAGATTCGTACCAGATTCAGGACCACAGAGCCAAGTGGCCTAGGTCGCTTTGGAAAAAATTGTATTGTGTTGTTCAGACAGCCATGAAAAGATCAGATACAGGTCGCATATGGACCAAAAAATTTGATTTGGGTCACCTCAGGCTGCAGTGTGATCGTAGCCATTTTGGCACTTAATTAGGACATTCTTGCAAGACAGAAAACAGGCAGGGAATGATCAAATCCATGTCCTTGTCACCCTGCTCTTTTTTTTTTATACCTATCTGACAAAAGATTTCATAAACAACACACTGAGAAAAGTAAATCACAAATTATTTTATCAGAAAAGACAAGCCCTGATAGGAGGCTGATCTGAAAAATGGAGCACAATGACCTGCCTGAGGGTGCATATAGTTTGCACTGACCATTTTTATGGACAGATAGCCATAGCCTGGGTGCCATTCCAAACTTAGTCCCGCCCACAACGTTTGAGGTCGGGAAGTTCGGTCTGGCATTGCTCATCAGTAGCGCGAGTATGCTAGCACAATATCTGGCGGGCCAATCAAATTGTCAGGGCGGGCTTTATACGATGATGGACAGATGATCAACAGTAACGTAATCAACCACGTCGCCAAAGCGCACTTGGGTGACCACAACAATGGCTGCCGCTGGAGAGTTTGGGTGAGTAGATTCTGCTATTAGGTCTGTTCTAGAAGATATCGACAGCAAATTAATTTTAAAAGAGGAACAGAGAAACGCGATCAAGGCTCATCTTCTTATTCTAGGCGTGAAACTTCACGCTTTGATTTTTGTTGACAACAACTATGCGTCGCTTAACATACGTCACGCACTCCGTTGCTCTTATTGGTTGTGTGTATCCAATTGAGTGCAGAGGCATTTTTATTCCTGGTTCGTTCAAAACACGCCCCTTAATCACAGCTCTATGGAGCAGTATCAGACTCATATTCTGACTAGAATTGAGTAGGACTACGTCAGGCTAAGATAGCCAGAGAGCCGAGTTTCTTTTCAGATACTCACCTGACAGTTGAAGATATTAAACATGTCAGCCCATGTAAATTTCAACTAACAATCCCCAAAAGTCATTTATTGTGGTTTTTTTGTGATAAGCTAAAACTATTGGTGAGAAAACTACAAATTCATTGAAATTGATGTGTAGGGTTTGAAAATAATTAGCCAATAAAAAGTGTGGGTAAATGTAGCAGGCATTCGGGTTGAATTCCTTTTATGTTTTTGTATCCAAAGTATTCATTTTGGGTGGCAATGTAGAAATGCAGAATACAATTTTCAGATATTTTATTAATAAAAAAAGTGTGAAAGCTTTATATATTCTGTGCTCTGTTCTTAAGAAACTTATACCAGTTCGCGTTGCTCTGTCACATGAAAAAAAATGCAATGGTTGAAGAGGAGCGAAGCACTTCTAAGAAATGCTTCACTTGCTTCATTGGTTGCCTCTTTACTACAGGTCCCATGATGCATCAGCAGCCTCCATCACAGCAGTACAACATGCCTCCCGGTGGTGGTGGACAACACTACCAAGGACAACAGAACCCAATGGGTATGATGGGCCAGGTCAGTCAAGGGAACCACGTCATGGGACAGAGGCCGATGCCCCCCTACAGGCCACCGCAGCAAGGTATACCTCCGAGTCTGTCTTGGGTGTGCAAGTTGTGAGAGTTGGTCTTTCCTCTTCATAACCCCTTCCTCTTGCCCTTCTTGCTTGTTCCACTCCTTTTCACTCATTTTCCTTTACCCGTTCACTCATTTTCCTTTACCCCATCCACCGTAGTTCAGATATCTTGATGAGAAATGGGTGTAAAGCTTTTAGCCTTTGACAAAAATGGCGGAGGAATCCAGCAAAGCAAGAACAAGCAGCAAAAGAACCCATCCTCTTTACTCTTCCCCTTACACAAGGCACTCAACAACACCTTGAATCTACCTGTGTGTATGTTGTATGTAGGACCTCCCCAGCAGTACCCAGGGCAGGAAGACTACTATGGGGACCAGTACAGTCACGCAGGACAGGGAGCCTCAGAAGGTAGGAGAAGCCTCCAGTCACTTGGAGAAGATGTTGACTGAACTGACAAAGAACAAGCCAGAATTTCCAATTTCTTCATTATACTCTGGAGAAGTCTGTTTGAATATGGTGCTCTAAATATGAAACGATAAGAAAACGCCTGTTTCAGAGGTTCACACTCTTCTAAAAGGGGCTGTTTTTCACCACTAAGTTAGGATTTCGGAGGAAGTAATTTCAAATGATATATTTTTTTGCATTTAGGCACTCTGCGTTCTACTTTCAAAGCTGTAGACAGTTTGCTCATTGGTCTGTGTCAGCTAAGGTTTAGCAAACAGATTATAGAACGGGGTAGATAGAAGAACAGCACAAGAAGGTTACTAACCACCAGATTTTGATATTAAACTGATGATGTTCTTCAGCTCAGTAGCTGAAGGTGCATCATTGATAAGCTTTCAATAATTCTCCTGATCTAAAAAATACAAATCTCTCTCTTTTTACTATCAACATTTTCTTTTCATGGATTTGTTTTCCTCTGCTGACCCAACTTTTTTCCCTTTGACCTTTTAAACTCGCCTTTCTATCTTTTAAAATAGCTATTGTAATAAATACACTACTTCCTAAATGTCATTGCTCAAGGTCTGACCTCATGATGCTATGATGTGCTTCTCTAGACCTTAAATTGTTAAAATCACATCAGTTTTCTGTGTTTCGTTGGTTAAAATGTCCCAATTATTTGTATTACTAAAGACCAGATCTTTTTTTAATGGGATTGTGTTTTCCTTTTAAGCTGTGTTACTTGTGTCAAAGTTGAGTTTTCTCCAACAAGTTTTTCACAGCAGTTTGCAGGGATTTATCCCATTCTTTCTGATAGAACCCCTGGAACTGAATCAGGGACTGGAGTAGGCCTGGGCGATAAACTGAATTTCTACCGTTCCGATAACCGGCAACAATGTCGATAAAAGAAATAAACTTAATTTAGCTGTTTTGCCTATCTGCGCTGGGGGCTGGTATTTCCTTCCCCAGCGTCTAACATAGCTGTAAACGAAATTATATCATTTAATCCTGTGGAGTCGAGCGAAAGCAGAAATTAAGCTGAGCGCGCAGAGAGAAGGTCGAGAGCTTGTTGTCAGAGTTGAGTGCGCCGTTTTGAGTGAGGGTGTGCGAGTTTAAACGATGCACATTGTTCAAAAGAGCACAAAATGGAAAGTTTGTCTGAAGACTGTCTGTGGAGGGTTACACAGGGTTATAAATCCAGCCGCACAACCATGCTGTTGAGTTCAAAGATTTGCTAAAGGTTTCGTTACCTTTGCGCAAAAACGTTTTAAAGAGAGGAAACCATTTTCTCCTGTACATTGAGACATTGTAGAATGTTTAAACCCGAATGGGTAAAAGACTTGAATATTTGATATAAAGTAATATATAATGTGATTTATTCAATAAGTAAATTATAACTAGATCAGTTGCATTTCCTGCACATGCTTTTGTTTCCGATAAAAGAGCCGGAGCATTTATTGTGCATTTATCGTTACTGAGGTAAAACTGCCCAATTTATTTGAAGCCATATCGCCCAGCCCTAGTTTGGAGGCTGCCTCACTCAACCACACCTTTTGCAGCTCTTCCCATAAAATAAATCTTATGTACATGATATACAGGTCTTTGTGGTAGGAGATCCAAAACGTGGAGTGACAAGATTTTGCTTTTTCTTTAGCTACTTGATAACCAACATGGTGCATTTGGAAGTCCTCCCTGGGCCTAAGCTTTAACTTTCTCCCTGATGTCTTGGGATGTTGCTCCAGTTATTCTACACAAACCTCTCATCATTATGTTTATTTTATGTAGTAGACCAGTCCCTTTAGGCATTTCTAAAACAGATTTTTGAGTAATGGCTTCCTCCTCTAAGTGGTGTTTCAGCCAATGTCAGCGCTGGACTACAAATTCTGTATCCAAGCATTTTCATCTTTAGGACCTTAAACAATACTTAAAATTAAAGTCCTTAAACTGTATAGTGCCAGGATGTTCCTGTGCCGCTTATACCTGCATATAATCACAGGACAATATAAACATGGCTCTTTGGATGTGGAAATTGTACCCAAGGATGAACCAAGCTTTTGGAGCTTTAGAATTCTCTTACTCTTGATTAGGCTGATTTATTTTTATAGGATATCAAAAAGAAGGCAATATTTATGTTATTGCATAACCTAATAAGACCCTTGTGGAGCAATGAAAAAAGTATCTGTTTGGCTTCTCAAATTAAAGCACAGTTATCTAAGCCCATGAAAATGTGATTTCTAGGAGATAAAAAAAACAACTTTTGCAAGATTTTGGTTTTATTGGGATATGTAAATATCCTGTTTCCCAGTATTTCATGCTGTTGCAGCAGGATAGCCATGCAATCATCTAAGATAAAAAAAAAACAATCTTGTAAATAAGTTGATAGTTATTTAAACAATACAGCTGTCGAATGCAATTTGCAACTTTTTACATGGTTGAATATCTTGTTTTCATTTCCTATTAGTATACATTATGTTTTTTTACATGTTGTTAACAATTCCTGCTCACATTCCTTGAAGGTAATGCACAATATGGCCAACAACAGGAAGCATACCAGCAGGGCCCTCCACAGCAGCAGGGCTATCCTCCACAGCAGCAGTACCCAGGTCAACAAGGCTACCCGCCTCAGCAACAGGGTTATGGTGAGTTGCAGATCTTTACCCACAGTGGACTTATTTGTCCTCTAGGAGGCACTGTTGGTTCTCTTTGATAACTTCTCTCCCCACCTATTCTGAGCCTTATTTGGTGTTTCTAAGTGACCAATCCAGGTAGGTTTAAAATGGGTTCAGGCCTTATGAAAGGAAGGGGCTTAAATCTGTATCTTATTTATCACTAGCTTCTGTGTCACTTCACTCTAAACCAAACTATTCTTGGATAATAAGACATCTTCTCTTAAGTAACAAACATAACGAATTTAATTACTGGTGGTCTGCTTAGTTTGTTTTTTCTTTTCTTTCTTTATATATTGTATTTGATTCCTTGCAAATTCGGATAAATATGCATTAATTATTCACTTAAATTTGGTTTGAGCTACATTATACTTAAAAAAAGAACACTTTTATGTGGATTCCCCTACCAACATCAGTCTGCGGTTTTATCAGCATTTGCTGGGAATTTTGAAAATTGTTTCAGGAATCTGTAAAATGTTCCTAGAAACACATCAGACAGATCAGTAATAATACTACAGAGAAGTTTAAAGAAGGGTAAGGTTTAGAGATATCCCAAGGTTTGAATATATTGAATCCATCCTATGACTGTCTGTCTATACTGACAGGCTAAGTAAGGAGAGTTTTGTTTTTACAGCATTGTGTGTTACTGTAGAATCTATATCTTTGAGTTTCTAGAAACTTTATTTGTTGTTGTTATCATCTTTTAATCAGAATTTTTTCGCTGTAAGAGCTTGACCCATGACTCCCTCCTTAATGAGCCAGTGTTATGATAATGATTGCGCTTTACCAAATTTTAGAAACTTTGCTGTTAAAGTTAATTTCTTGAATCTCTCCAAGCAAGTTTCCTCGGCACATTTTTATTATTTTATTTCTTTACTGGAACCTTCTACCATTTGGCCTGTATCTTAGCCAAAGCTCATTTTAGTAATGAGCTAGCGCAGAAGCAGAGGCTGTGAGGTGAGATTCATCTGGCACATACACATTCCTGCTCTCGAAGGCCCCCACAAGGTTATACACAACAGCATAAGGCATTACGAGCTCCTAACGATGCTGCGTGGGCCTCATTTGACTTCAACCCTCAGTCCTCACAGCAGTTCCAGAGCTTGTTGCAGTGTGCAGAGGTTGATGAGATGTTTTTTTTTCCTTTTAAATGAAGCTTGTGCTTCTTTAATGAAGACCAGCAAAATCTCATTGATGTCTTCTTGAATTAGTGGACCACTGCCTGACTTACTTGTTCATTAAAGGGTCTGGGATTAAGGAGGCAGCCTAAATAAATAGGTTTGAAATGGAGATGGGCATACATTTGTAGGGCTACTCATTTTCAGGAAATATGTAAATGATACTGCAATTTTTCAGCAGTTGTTAAAATATTGATTATTTCTCCTAATTTTCAGGCTATACATCTTTTTTTTCCATTTCATTTTTTCTTAATCACTCTCTATGAGGTTTAGCATCTCTGCCCTGAAGAAAAACACCTTGTGTCAGCTTTAAGGAAAGCTGGACTCTTTCAGATGAGCTAATTAAGTTATATATGTCCTTGTAAGCCAAAGTCTTTCACTATATACACCTATATCGCCATTGCGTTGCTGACTTGATAATATACGGTTAGGGAAAATTATGGTTTTACTGATACAGATGCCTGTTACTGGGAATCAGTGTTGAAACCTATCAGTACCTTTTATAAGTGCCATGCTAAAGTCTTTTTTAGGACTATTATTTACCTGTGGCTGCCTCGCCCATGTTGCTGGCTGCAGACGATGAGTCCATAACGGATGCAGGTGTGGTATTGCAGGAGTTTGTTGAAAAGCTGTTGAAGAGTGTGCACTGTTCAGCCTTGAGAAAAATCTTGTGCACAATCAGATGCTTCCTCAGATTAAACGTGTTCCCGCCACTGGCTTTGCTCTTCGCATCAGAAATATTGCAGCAAGCATATTATGCATCATATTTTGAAAAGTGGAGCCATACTCTCCAGAGCTATGTTTTAGCCATGCTTACTTTGTTCACTGTACCATACCTTCTGATGTTCCCATATTATTACGGTGCAATGCAGTGTTAATGCCTGGCATAGAAAATCTTGCTCCCTCTGTATCACAATGATGCATTTAGGTTTACTTGGATAAGTACACCATAGTACCGATGGATTTACCTATAGAAGTACAGAATATAGTGCCCATCTGTATGTGCAGCTCTAGTTGTTACCAAGAAATGGAAAAACAAGGAATATTATTTTTAAAGTTAGCTGAAAACTCACTAACAGTTTAATGGGATTTATTCTTCATTAATATTTCTTTTAATACGCTTTATATTATGTTTTTGATTATAAGTGTGGTTGCATCCAGGCAACTGTAAAAACTTGTTTAGGTAACAAAGTAAACAAACAAATAAATCAATGTGGATGGATAAATCCAAGTTACGGAAGCTATTAAAATATATATATATTATTTTTTTTTTTTTTTGCATATATTACATAAGTTAGTCATAAGTGAATTTATTGAAACGTACAAGAGCCTGTAGTTTGGCTGTGCTAACCAAATCATATCTTTTTATTTACACATTTAAAACTGACGATGCACGCAGAATTTGGGTGTTGTTGGACTTGAAGCATGTTTTTCAGTTATTGTCTCCCTGTATTCGGTTCAGGTCCTTCCCAAAGTGGACCAGGACAGTATCCCAACTACCCTCAGAATCAGGGGCAGCAGTATGGGGGTTATCGTCCCCCTCAGCCCGGACCTCCACAGGGCCAGCAGCAGCGCCCATACGGTTATGACCAGGTGAGTATAGCCAAAGGCCTAGATAGTCCCAGAGATTTGTTTGTACATTAGCAGTAGTGTTGTTCTTATTAATGTTGAATCCAAATGATCAATGAAAATCCTAGAAAGCATTATTGACTAGTCTGTTTTGCATGCTGTTTTCATTTTTGGTGGTTAAATGTGTTCTTCCCAGAGGAAGTTATGTGTTAGTGCCTTTTTACTCTTTATTCTCAGTCTTGCTTATGTTTTGTGGCTTATGTGGAATCCTATTTCAGTGACATATGAGGGCTTTAAAGAGGATTCTTCCTTCCGCTTGATGCAGACTGCGTCAGTGTTTTGAAGGGGGATCGATTTGCTGCCCTGTATTACCTGTGGTCTGATGTGGGGACCACAGCTGCACTTTGATATCTTTATCTTTGAACATTTAGGGGCACATGAGGAAATAAAGAAGCGGGGATTTGAACCCCTCACTAGCTCTATAAGAAGCAAAGGTAATGGTTGCTGTGAAGACCTCAACGTTAAATCTAGACTCTTGACCACCTAGCCTTAATTTGCATTTATGTTTCTTCTGCCTATCATCTATCCCTTTCATTCTTTCTTTGTAGTTTCCCCCCCTTCCTTTATTTTTTTACACTTATTTTGTCATCCACCAGGGGTCGAACTTTGAGTAATGAGGTCCAGAAAAACAGCAAACATGGTTTGCAACCAAAGGCTGTATCATTATTTTTGATCTGCAATTATTAACTGATCAAACTCTATTTTACAGGGGTGTACTGGCACATGTGAGGGTCCAAAACAGTTAAAATATTTTTTAGTTCAATCTGTCTCAGAGGCTAGCACTGCTATAACTTACAACCAGTGGCGTTTGCAACCATTCAGACACACACATTAAATTCTTAGTGCTTATCTGAGCCTATATGATAACATTTTTCTGTAAGGTTAAGCTTTAGACCATTATTGCACCTCATATAAACATATATCTTGCTTTACTTTAGATAAAAGTAGAACTTTCTCTGCATGACCATTTACATCTAGCATTAAAATCTGTCCTGAATTAGAAATGTTTTGATTGTATTCCACTCAAGTAGAAACTAATATATTTTTGTTTTGGTTTACATTTTACCAGGGAATAATCATTGTTTGAAGTCCTATATCCTTATGTTGTGCAGTAGTAATGCCAGGATTCATTTTCTCAAACAATTGTAGTTGATCTTCTTATCATTATAAAAATTTTTCAATCTGGTTTCAAACCTTGTGTGTACTGTTACACCCCTAATATTAGGATTGGTCATATCGCACTCTAAATTCATAGTTTCTGTTCATACCAGACACATACTTCGACCCCTGTCTAGGAATGCTGTAAATTGAACTGTTGACAGAGTTTCTTATTTAAAGATAGCTTCCTATATTTCAAGAAGTAATATTTGTGCCCAAACCAGATATGTTACATTACCTTAAAGCTTTTAGATTGTGAAGTCTTGCTGCCACCTGCTGGTCAATACCTCTCAGTGCACAAAGACATTAATCATGTTTTGTAGAATATCACAGAAACTTAGGATGTTTGTTTGCACATTTCTGAAGGTTGTTTAAAAGCTCAGTAACTGTCTGTTATATTTTACTCTACAGGGCCAGTATGGAAATTACCAGCAATGAGAAATGGTCACAGTTTACCCACACAACTCCTCTCTGATCTTTGAGTTTTATCCTCTGGTCAACTGCTAAGCAGACTATATTGATGGTTTCAGCTCAGATCCTCCCGGACACAAACACATTTATGAATAAAAGATCTGTTTTCCACTCTTTTTGTCCTCTCTACTAAAATATAAACCTGTTAATGGTGCACATTGACACGGGGATGGTAAAGTCAGTGACCTTGCTCCAGTGTTTCAAAGTGGCAATGCCTTAAAGAAATTGGAACTGCCTTATCCTTTAGCATTGCAGAGTGAGGAAGGTGATGACAAAGATTTCTGACAAGAAAACTCAAATTTTCAGCGTGCATCGTTTCCCTGGCCTTCAACTCTGTAATCAAACAAAGCAATAATGCCTGCAGTAGGGACTTGTTCTGGGACTTGAAGATAAAATGATGCAGATGCAGCAGGTGAACTTCCAGCTAGGCCAATGGTACATGTCTCGATGTATGTGATACTGTAAAAAAAAAAAGCTGTTATTTTGTGCTTTTTAGATCGAGCTAACTTTGTATAAGAGGTTGAAAACTAGTACTAAGCCTGTGTTTTTTATTTTATGAAGCTTATGTGTCTTTTTTTTTTTTTTATGCTCCTTTACGGCAGTGAATCCCATACATTTTTGTTCTTTGTTGTTGGAATGTATGTCTAATAAATTAGGTCTGCTACATATGTGACATGAACTCTGTATAAATGGATATTTTATTAAAAATGCACAAAATTTCTTTAAAAAAAATATGGGCAGCATAAAACAACCCATAAAAGTGTTAAGTGTGTTTTCTTCTTTTTTTTCTTTTCAAACCGTAGCACCTGACAAAAATAAGGCCGCCTTTTTAAACAGCTGTCAGAGAGATAGCTGTCTGTAGCAGATTGCAAGTTAATCTGCTATATTTTTTTTCTTTTTCTGAAGGCATAAACTTGTTTGCAACATGGTAAATGGAAAAGCCCATCACAATTAGGTTTATAAAATCATTTCTGTTTTTATCCCTACAAGCGGTGTTAGTCTGTTAGCCGACAATGCTGGACTCATGACGTTCCCTTAGAAGAGACGTCTGAGTTGATGTCATTCAAGTGATGTTTTGTGTGAAATGAATATTGTTACTGTCAAATATGTAACATAATATGTGAAAATATGTTCTGAAGTGGATTCCTTGAACACAGCAAAGACTGGTTGTGCAGTTTTATATCACTGGCTTGATATCTGTATTATGGTGCATATTTTATTGATCCTGTATGTACAGCAGCGTGAAGACGAGGAACTGACTGTCCTCTGTATTGTTTATATGGCTGTTTTAATATTTTTCATTCTGCACCCCATTCAAGTGGAGGTCACATAATGTGTCTTGGCAATGTGAACTGTACATTCGAATAAATTAGAAGAATCTTTAATATATTTTTGTTGGCTGTTCTTTAAGAGTTTTATCTTTTTTTTTAAAGGAATATTGTAAACGTACTGCTTTGCAAAGGTTGTTATAAACAGACCTGGTTAGTAACCAAAAAGAGAGTAGCACTACTTTATAGTTTTTTTACTCAAAAGTTGAAAGAAGTCACCCAAGAAATTACTTAAGTCGAAGTAAAATATTTGGTAAAAATGCTACTTGAATACTGATTAACTATTGTATAATGACATCAGATTGAATGTTTATAAATATGCTGGCAAACAGAATTTATGTGCATTTTCTGGCATTTTAAAGACTCAATTGCCTAAAGAATACAAATAAATGAAATACTTTTATCTTTTTCTTTAACATAAAACCCATGCTTACAGTGAGAACTGTATATATGTTAGGACAGGGTAACAAACTTCCACTGTTAATATCTGTTTACTGTATGTTTGCCTGATTTTGGAAAAGTTCAAATTACTTAGAGTAGTCAGATATTTTACTCAAATAGGAGTAGCAATACTTTACAAGAATATTACGAGAATAAGACAAGTGTGGCACAGTAAACCTACTCCTAAAAATACATTTTTTTTTTAATTGTTACTCAAGTAATTGTAACTAATTTCTACCCACTTCTGGTTATAACTCATGATTTTTCTCATATTTTGTCATATTAAAAAAATATTTTATGCTGCTTGGAGTGCAAACACATCTGTTAACTGAATTGAAAAAGTATTTCACCAGCTCTAAGGCCAAAGTATCTAAAATGTTTTGCACAAATGTAGTCATCCCCTCTTACTGTGACACCATAAATAGAATTGTGTTAATCAAATCCCTTTCAGAATCAGAAATACTTTAATAATCCCAGAGGGAAATTACTTTATAAAACAAATCACCTTTGGCAATAAATTGCCTAATACTACCTGAGTGTTAATTATCCTTAGTAACATAGAGCTGCACTGTAAGAGACTTCATGAAGAGGCAACATTCCAAAGTCCCACAGAAACTACAGTGAAAATGTTTGGGAGATGCTGTCTGTCCACCTGCAAAGAAAGGCCTGATAGGGATGCAGTAATCAGAGAATAACCCAGGAAGTGTTAGCTGGTAGAGTAGCCAAGGTCCATGAACAAGAAAAGTTTGTTGCTATATTTTATGAAAGTATATAAAGTATAAGAAAAAAAAGCCTTAAAAGGATTTCACAAGGCATGCAGTGGACAGCAAGGATGTGTAATGAGGTGTGTAATGGGAACAAAATATTAACTACGGTACTATTTAACCCACACTACTGTATAAAACACCCTAAACACACCATTCCATGGTGAAACATGTTGGTGGCCCCATCATGCAGTGGGAATGTTGCAGAGACAATACAACCGGTTAAAGCAGATGAATCAAGGTAAATACAGACTAGGTTCGGAAGAAAACCTGATCAGCGCTGTTAGCCTGACCCACCAGACCAATTTACACCATATACAAGGCGTATTAATTTGAGAAGCAGGAGATAATTACAGATGTGAAGCAAAATATATTTTTTGTGTTTCTTTTTAAAGCTTTAACAGCAGCCAGTTGTTTAGATTTTAGCATAAATGGAGATACTGGACACAATGAAGGGCATCAATCAAACATTCCTTTGCAGCTGCAACCTTAACAGTTATAGTTAAGGAAATGTGCTGCTGCAGTGTTGACCCTTACTAGACTGACTCATTACCCTTGGAGGTCAGACTGGCTGGCCAGGCTAGAAGGCTGTATTAGACATGAGACCATCGCCTCAATTTACCTTTCTGCAGGATGACATAAAGTTAGAGCTGAAACTTTTCAGATTAAAGCATATTCATGTTTAAACGGCCTAGTCAAAGTAGAGATCTAAATCTAACTGAGAATCCTAGCCTAGACTTTATAATTGTGGATGAAAGATATGCTTCATTCACTCTGACTGAGCTGTCTTTGCAAAGAAGAATTGGAAACATTTTAGAGAAGGCGCTAGAAACATACAAAGAAAGGTATCGATTTAATGTGACAAATAGAGGACATTGAGGTGTAGTTCTATCAGTATAATCCCAATAATTATAAGGATGGTTAAGGAAATATTAACAAAGATCAAGGGGTTTGAACTCTTAAGGGAACAAAACCATTCCTCCTTAATATAAACAAGATGTGTGCTATTGCTCCTGACATAATGTGACAGTATAATCAAATAGTTTTATGTGGTTGTGAGTATCCAGCTGATAATGACCATGCCCTCATCGGCAGCATGTCTGCTTCGTCCAGATGCATCCAGGTCCAGAGCACATTTACACCCAAAATCACCTTCCGCGCCCCCACTTTCCTTCCCCGCTCCCTCCAGAGAGGTAGAGGGACTACCTGTCACTTTGGGGGGAGTTATGCAGATGGTACAACAGATGTGTGGCCAAAGCACGTGACGGGAGATCTGCTTTGGGTGGTAAGAGGGCCACAGTTTCGGTACAGATGGTGGAAAGGATGAAGAGAAGTGCTGCAAGGAAGAATGAGACATTTTCACTTTAGTCGTACCATACAGCTATAGCATACCTGTGTTTAGAATGTATCTTTACATTTATGTTTCCCTGCAAAGATTTTGTTGCTTTAGCCCGTCACCCCGCACCACCCTGCTGCTCCACAGCTGGCTGCCCCACCCTTCGCAGCTGCCACTGGGCCTCCCCCCGGCCCGGGCGCTTGGCAGAGGCTGCTTTTTGGGCGCTCCCCCACCAGTCCTCCCTGGCAGCTGCTGGCCTCAGCTGCGCTCCTGCAGACGGTATTGGGGTCGGACAAAGTCACTCCTCCTGCGACCGTGTGTGAGCCCGTTGTGGCAGGATGAAGGGGTGGCAAGGAGACTCAGCCCAGATGAAAGATTCCTAAATTTGCAAAGCATTTTGAATCAGGGACTGATCTTTTATAAACATGTTTATCTGTCTCTTCTCAGTCTTTTATGTATTTGTGTCTGAGGAAAAACAGAAAGCTATGCGTCCAGCCAGGCAAATAGTGAAGAGGTAGCATCATTAAAGGGGATGATTATCTTGCTCAATATTTTGATAATTATAATTCAGGGCACCTTTCAGAGGAGGCTCCTAACCACTGAGGAGAAAATGACATTGTGATCATAGCTGGCAGGCAAGATGTGATCTCTCTCTCCCTCCAACCAGCTCTCCTTTTCACTCTTTCATACTCACACTCTCGGTGTGACAGAAAGTCTATGGGGAGGTATAAGAGGTAGTTATGGGGGGAATGCAGCAGCCTCCACAGTTTAATTGGAGATGTGTCACACTAAATAAATGGTGCAAAAACAAGCGCTGACTGGAGGCTTGAGGGAGGGGCCCTGGGGATGCAGCCTGTTTTATTGGGCAGGAGCTTTTGCACCGCTCCAGGGTGAAACTGGGCTGTGCACTTGCAGAGATGCCCCCCGAACCATTAAAACCCCAGTTCCTCCCGAAGACCACTGTGGAGGATAAAGACAAAGGCATTCTTTCTTTTTTTCGCTCTGCAGAAAAGCATCTTAATGATGGTTAGAGAGAGGTTCGAGGGAGAACACGGTGACCTGATTGTTTTCTCGTTCTGTGAGGGGCAGATCTTCATCCTCATCTGCAATTTCAATTTCTACACAGAGGCAGACAGATCTATAATACTGAAAAAAAACATCTTGAGTAAGCACTGTCTGCAACACACACTACTGGATCCTCTTTATGTCAATTTATGTTTTTAGAAGAAGGCAAACCACAGCCTCCAGCCAATTTCATTTCTATGTGTAATCCATATATGACCTCAAAGTAACCAGGAAAATGTGTTTTCCAATATTATATAAATTTTCATATAACTTTGCTCATGCAGTGTATGCCTGCACCCTAGCTTCCAGAGTTCATGGCACAGGGGTTTGATTTACCTCTAGTATGTGCTGCAGTAATTGGATGTGACACCATTCTCTCTACTCTCCCTGGGGGATATATCAGGAATCTGACTATTATGGACCCAGTCATGAATATGTCACAGCAACTGCAAACAAAGGCTCTCCATTTGGATAAGGCTTCGTATAAATGTTGTCTCTACACTGAGAAATTTGCTGCAAGGGTACATTTGTATTCTGATGAAGCTATTTGCAGTATTTCACTCATCATTCACTTGTTTTGTCTGATCACTAACAAATATTGTACTGAAAATATACTTTATTGTGAACTGATCTTCATATTTAGCTTAACAGTTATGTTTTTATGGAGGCATTACACATTAATGAAAAGGAAGGTAATTTCCCCAAAAAATATCAAAACCTTTTTTTTCCCCATTGATTTGACCATCCCCAGACATTTGTTACACGGGCATCCAAAACTCAAGCTGCAAGAAACAAAAAATGAATATCAAAATATAAGAACAGCTATAGGGATATCATTTAATAAAAAATAAAGTTTTTTTTTTCAAAAGCTTTATTTAGATACACTGAAAAAGTATTCCTGATTTATTTCAGCTCAATTTGTTTTAATGATTTGCATAACATCTCAAACACTTCATCAACACCTTTGTTTACAGATGACTGGAATCTGGAATACCTATTTTCCACAATCTAAACTGAGCTGTATGAAGTCAATCAATTTGATAAAGTCAAATCAATTATCATTTGATGTAAAAAAAAAAATACATTTTTCTTGTTTAATAGTGAAAAAAACAGGAAGGCCAATGAAAGGTGATTGATAATGACATTTCCTACAGCATCAATAGTTAATTAATTGCTGATAAATTGTCCTAGAAACCTCACAGTGGCAATTTTTTAATTATTACATATTTGAGAAATTGGTAGAAACATTGTTATTTTGTATAAAAGATGAAAACATCAGCCTTGATGTTTTATTGTTCTATGATCTACCCTTATTTTAATGATTGCACACCCACCAGGCCTAGCCTTATCTATCCCCTTTAAAAATGCTGTATGTGTATTATTTTTTTATTATCAGCTTACTTAGACTGCTCACAGCCTCTTTTCCAGGAATTAGGTATTCTTTGTGTCACTT